AGTGACGCCCGCCCTGTGGAACGCCCTCACATCAGATGTCAAGGTAATAAACAACTATCTGACTTTTAGAAGACATCTGAAGGCAGCCCTGTTTAGGGAAGTTTTTAATGTTTGATGTTTGATTGTGTTTTTAATATTCAGTTGGGAGCCTCTCACATTGGCTGGGGAAACCCAGTCAGATGGGTGGGGTATAAATAAATATTATTATTATTATTATTATTATTATTATTACAGATGACCCTCAGGTTTCCCTCCAATTCTACTGTTCTATGTTTCCTCACATGGATACCCCACTTAGTGTCACGTTGAATTCCTCCCAGTTCCTCCCATACTTCTGTGTATGTCTGGGTTTGTGTGAAGAATGTGCAATGTTGTGTTTGTATGTCCCATCCAGTGCAAAGCCTTGCCCAACACCTCACAAGCTGAAATGGACACCACCTGCCACTGGCAAAGTATCATTCCTTTAAAAAGTGAATTTAAGCTGGAATCCTACATCTGTTTACACCTGCTTGCTTGCTTGCTTCCTCCATCTCCTGAAGGTGCTACTACCCTGTGGTTTCTGCCAGACAGCTCCAGTCATCCATTTTCAAATGGGGACTTTACAGTAACAGTTGAACACATTCATGTGGACACAACACAACACACATCTGCCTTCATTTGCATTTTGAATGGAAATAGAACAACAAACCCGAACAACAGAACTGTGAAATCCCCATTGGCCATGCTCGCAAAAATGCCTAATAGTCTCATTATCGGAGATGGGATTTTAGCCAATTATATCTTTTCTTGGATGAGGAACCAGAACAGATTGGATCCATCTGGGATTTGTACTGTGATCTCATCTGACAGAATCCCAGAAGCGGAACTTCATACAACGAAATAATGCAGAAACTAAATGACTGACAGCCCAGGCTTAGGACGTGCTATGCCAACCCTTAAGGATTCAAGGTAGAGCATAGCGACAACAAGCCCAGCATAAAAACACAATATAAGAGGTCACACTAGAGTTTTTGCCCTGTGCTGCGCTGAAGACATGGGCAGAATTGCCAGAGAAAGGCTTGCAGTTTTGGTCTAACTCCAGAACTGCAGTAACACATTCCAAGAATATCTGGGTGAGTTCCACTGGAGATAACAATTGTGTGTCAGTGTGATCCTTTGGCCCTGCTGTGTTGGCAGCCTGACATTGACAAACCACTGTCATTGGTTCACTGGGTAGTTCCAGCAGGAAGGTTGAAAGGAAAATTATATAATTTCAAACTACACAGTCGTGCCGGAAAACACTTGCACAAAGTCTATGGTGGCGTTACCAACACACACCATTTGTAGTGCAGTAAGGGACACGGATGGTGCTGTGAGTTAAACCACAGAGCCTAGGACTTGCCAAACAGAAGGTCGGCGGTTCGAATCCCCGTGACGGGGTGAGCTCCGGTTCCTCGGTCCCAGCTCCTGTCAACCTAGCAGTTCGAAAGCACATCAAAGTGCAAGTAGATAAATAGGTATCGCTCCGGTGGGAAGGTAAACGGCGTTTCCGTGCGCTGCTCTGGTTCGCCAGAAGCGGCTTAGTCATGCTGGCCACATGACCCGGAAGCTGTATGCCAGCTCCCTTGGCCAATAAAGCGAGATGAGCGCCGCAACCCCAGAGTCGGCCACGACTGGACCTTTACCTTTACCCCAACAGCCCGTAGCAGTCTTTGGGGTGGCACAGACAGGGCAGCCTTGCTCCCCTGCCTTCTGAACACTGAGGATTGCTTCAAGTTCCTGAGAGGGAGCGGGAGAAAGGCAAGTCACAGACCCTCCAAGTGTCCCTATTTTCCAGGGACAGTCCCAGATTTACAGAAGCCACCCCAGTTTCCGATTTGATCAAAGAGCGTCCCACTTTTCCTTAGGACGTCCCTATTTCCATTGGAGACATTTGAAAGTGGTCCTGTACAGGGAAGGTTTTTTTTTAATGTTTAATGTTTTATTATGTTTCTATATATGTTGTGTATAATTTTTATTAAATTTTCTGTTTTACAATTCAGAATATTAATTTAAACAACCTTAAAATGTCAATGACTTCCCTTCTTCTCTTTCCATGGTTCATTTTGCATATCATAAATCCCAGCTTATTTTACATACACTAAACCATTCAGTAATCCATTATTACATCCATCAACACTTGTTTACACTGTTGAATTTCCCCTCATATATTCAATAAACATTTTATGTTCTTCTTTAAACATATGTTCTTCTTGTCCTCTTATTCTATATGTTAGGTCCGCAAGCTGCACATATACCATCAGTTTAAGTTGCCATTCTTCTTTAGTTGGGACCTCGCTCGTTTTCCATGGGTCGCAGTAGTGACATACATAAATAATCTTTTTTGTTTCTATAGATGTTGGAAGCTGCCCAGAGTGGCTGGGGCAACCCAGTCTGATGGGTGGGGTATAAATAATAAAATTGTTATTATTACGGAATAGGATGTCCCTATCTTCATCGGAGAAATGTTGGAGGGTATGAAGCCCAGGGAGAGGGCACTGTGGAGAATGCAAAATGGCGGTCGGCTACTAGCACTGTTGTGATTGCTGCCACTTGTAGGAGCCACAACAACCCCCCAAAAGACACATTTGTGTGGAAAAGAGAGAAAGAAATTGGGGGTGAACAAAGGGAAAATCTCAGAAAGTTTCTCAGAGAAACGTCCTTCGAGAAATGGTTATGCCGCTCTTCTTCTTTTTAGTGCTGAATTATTATAGGGAAATCGTGACGAGAAGGAAAACAAAAGGCTATTATTTCAGACAGATATAGAAAAAATGCTGATGATATCTGGATTGCCAGCTGTGTGCTTTAAATTTTTTTAATATGCTTTAAAAGAAAAGAAGAAAGAAAGAAAGAAAGAGAGAGAGAAAGAAAGAAAGAAAGAGAGAGAGAGAGAGAGAGAGAAAGAAAGAAAGAAAGAAAGAAAGAAAGAAAGAAAGAAAGAAAGATCAGCTGAATTTGCTTCTGTGTGTCAGGTTAGTTTACCGTTTTTTTCAGCCCATAGGGCACACCTAGTTTTTTGGGGGGGAAATAAAGAAAAAAAAATTATTCCCCCCCCCCCAGGCGTGGGGCTGGGGCGGGGGAAGCCCGAGCTTCCCTCGACCCCAGCCCCCAGAACAGGCAGCTCTCCACAAGCTGTGGGAGAGCTGTGTGAAGCCTGAAGCCTGGGGGGGAGCTGAACTCAGCGCCCCCCAGGCTTCGGGGTGCAGGCAGCCCTCCACAAGCCGTGGGAGAGCTGCGCGACGTCATGCAGCCCTCCCACGGCTTGCAGAGAGCTGCGTGAAGCCCGAAGCCTGGGGGCGCTGAGCTCAGCACGCCCCCAGGCTTCGGGGTGCAGGCAGCTCTCCACAAGCCGTGGGAGAGCTGTGTGAAGTTGTGCAGCTCTCCCACGGCTTGCGGATAGCTTCCTGAAGCCTGGAGAGCGAGAGGGGTTGGTGTGCACCGACCCCTCTCGCTCTACAGGCTTCAGCGAAAGCCTGCATTCGCCCCATAGGATGCACACACATTTTCCCTTCATTTTTGGAGGGGAAAAAGTGTGTCCTATAGGGCGAAAAATACGGTATATGTATGGACCACAGATTGCTTTTATTGAGGCAACTCTGGGAAAAGACCTCAAAGAGGTACTTCCTGCAACATGTGATGCTTTTCAGAAAGAGACAACAGAGTTGCTTGAGCTAAGTGGGTAACTTACTGGACCTGCTTAAGGGTGAACAAAACCAGCCCTTCTAATCTGATGGAACAATTGCTCCCTCTCAAATCTTGTTGGAGAATTTCTTTTCTTAAAAAAGAAATAATTTTTTAATTGATTTCTAGAAAACAAAAAGCAACAGTAAGCATAAATAGCAGAATCCAGCTTCAGGCATAAATTATATAACACCTAGTAGAGAGTCAGACTAGATCGTGACAACTGATTAAATAATCTAAGATGAGTTGTGACCACTTTTTGTCAGACTATTGTGCCCCTCCAAAGTGAGGCCCCAGCTTGCACAGGCTGGTTAGAGATGATGGGAGTTGTAGTCCCAACATCTGGAGGGTACCAGATGATTTAGAACTTTTGACAATACCCTGACTCAGAGGGGGATCTACTACGAAACTGATGAAGTTACATATAGAAAGGTTACATTAATACAAAGTTACATAACTATCTCTCTATCTCTCATCTATCTCTCATCTATCTCTCATCTATCTATCATCTATCTATCATCTATCTATCTATCTATCTATCATCTATCATCTATCTATCTATCTATCTATCTATCTATCTATCTATCTAATCTATCATCTATCTATCTATATCTATCTATCTATCTATCTATCTATCTGTCTATCTATCTATCTATATCTATCATCTATCTATCTATCTATCATCTATCTATCTATCTATCATCTATCTATCTATCTATCTATCTATCTATCATCTGTCTATCTATATCTATCAATGTTTCTGCCTGTCTGTCTATCTATCTATCTAGAAGAAGAAGAGTTTGGATTTGATATCCCGCTTTATCACTACCCGAAGGAGTCTCAAAGTGGCTAACATTCTCCTTTCCCTTCCTCCCCCACAACAAACACTCTGTGAGGTGAGTGGGGCTGAGAGACTTCAGAGAAGTGTGACTGGCCCAGGGTCACCCAGTAGCTGCATGTGGAGGAGCGGGGAATCAAACCCGGTTCACCAGATTACGAGTCCACTGCTCTTAACCACTACACCACACTGGCGCTCTCTCTCTCTCTCTCTCTCTCTCTCTCTCTCTCTCTCTCTCCTCTTATCTATATCTAAAATATAATCATTTTTCTTCTGACACACCCTCCTTCTCAACCTCCGGGTTCTCACCCAGGGTCCAAACAAACTCTCAGCTCACCCCCAAAAGTCTCACAACAAGAACAGTTCTTGGATTCAGAGGACATCACCCTAGTCTCTCATAGAATTGTAGAGTTGGAAGGAATTACAAAGGGACATCTAGTCCAACCTCCTGCAATGTAGGAATTGTCTGCGCAACGTGGGGCTCGAACCCACAACCTTGAGATTAAGAGCCTCATGCTCTACCAACTGAGCTATCACAGCTTTACTCTTGACTTGCTTTTACAGGCAGGCCCAAGGTGGGTGGTACTTCCTCAGGTTGCACACAGCTGTGTCCCATTTAGCTGCATTCTCCACTGATGTAGCAGCTTTGTTGAGTTTCCCAGAGGGTCCAAAGGATGGGAAGTGGGTCCCCTTTCACTCACAACTTGTTCTTCTGTCTCTGTCCTCTCCTCCTCCTCCAGCAGCTTTGAAGAAACCATCGCCCTAGATCTTGGATGATTCTATCCTTGCCAAACTCAAACTCCTGAATTTGTTGCTGGAGGACACAAAATTCTAACATCTCCGCTGGGAGAGGGGTGGCATTTTCTTCATGCTGCAAAAAAGGCACTGAGGATTCAAAGGACAGTGTCAAAATCAAACAGGGTGGGCCGTTTGCTACCAAGGCCGTTTCAATTCTTCTCCAGTTTCTTCTCCAGCAAACTATCAAGCACGGATAATTTAATGAAACAGAATCAAGTCTTTTTTATTATTTTGTGAGTTGTACGGATAGAGGGAAATGCTCTGGGCGAAAGGCTCTCATTTCAAATTAATTAACTAGTCTCATTGATTAGGGTAGAACTAGATTTCCACGCACTCGATGAAAGAAAGGAGTCAACCTTTAACTGGAAAAGAAAACTGTAAGAGAATAATTTCAGATCACAAACGGATTAAGCAGGGCCTACAGGGAGTCTAATGTGTAGCATAAAGTAATACATTAATTGTAGAAATATAGATTGCTGGGCTGTAATGAAGGCTAAGGGATGTACACCAGTATGAATATTTGGTTCAGATCCTCGGCAATTGAGTTCCTCTCTTAGTGGCTTAACCTCAATTTTCTTAATCACTTAAATGACTTAATCGCAACATTATTCTGGGTTATTTTCGGTTGAGGGAGCAATGGCGTTTCTCACAAAAAGCATCATGCTTGGCCACCAGTGGGGATTTCAGTGTGTTTGTGGTAGCCGTGTGTAACTTCCACCCCAAATCCCCTGGAATGCTGATCATCTAGGTATCTTTAATGTTAAGGAATTGGCTCCTGGCTTGCCAAGAATAGAGCTAAGTTGCTGCCGCTGCTAACTTAAAAGCAGAGACATCACCTTGCCAACAAAGGTCCATACAGTTAAAGCTATGGTTTTCCCAGTAGTGATGTATGGAAGTGAGAGCTGGACCATAAAGAGGCTGATCACCAAAGAATTGATGCTTTTGAATTATGGTGCTGGAGGAGACTCTTGAGAGTCTCATGGACTGCAAGAAGATCAAACCTATCCATTCTTAAGGAAATCAGCCCTGAGTGCTCACTGGAAGGACAGATCCTGAAGCTGAGGCTCCAATACTTTGGCCACCTCATGAGAAGAGGTCCCTGGAAAAGACCCTGATGTTGGGAAAGATTGAGGGCACAAGGAAAAGGAGACGACAGAGGATGAGATGGTTGGACAGTGTTCTCGAACCTACCAGCATGAGTTTGACCAAACTGCAGGAGGCAGTGGAAGACAGGAGTGCCTGGCATGCTCTGGTCCATGGGGTCACGAAGAGTCAGATATGACTAAACGAATAAACAACAACATTCTTTGAAGGAAAATTACCAGAAAATGATTCACAGATGGTATTTAACTCTGAGTAGGCTTGCTAAGGATGTATACGACTGAATCAGATAAGTGCTGGAGATGCAGAGGTGGAGAGAACGTCTATGTGGTGGATTTGTAAAAGAGTAAAAAAGTACTGGGAAATGATCCATAATGAATTGAAAAAAATGTTTAAAAGTAGTTTCCCCCAAAAACCAGAGTACTTTCTGTTGAGAATAATTCAGACTGAAATTCCCAGGTGTCCAAAAAGGTTATTTACGTATGCCACTACTGCGGCCCGTGCTTTGTTCGCCCAGAAATGGAAAATGAGCAAGGTCACAACGAAAGAAGAAGGGCAACTTAAGCTGACAGAATATGCACAACTTAACATATAGAATAAGAGAACAAGAAGAACATAAGTTTAAAGAAGATTGGAAAACGTTTATTGGATATATGAGAAATAATTGTGTACAGCTGAAAACGCTGGCGGCATTAAGATAAATTCAGCAGTGTAAATAAGTTTTGATGGATGCAGTAATGGAATACTGAATGGTAGAGTCTTTGTAAAATATGAAGGGATTTATGATATGTAAAATGAACCATGGAAAGAGAAGAAGGGAAGTCATTAATGTTGTAAAATGAGTATTCTAAATTGTAAAACAGAAAATTTAATAAAAAATATAAACAAAGAACAAACAAATAAAGTAAAAGAAGAAAACACCAAGCAACCCACCACGCCAACGAGGTCCACGTTCTCCCCTCCCCCCCAAAATTGGTGACATCACCCCCCAAATTCACTTGTCATGAATAGGATTACAATATTTCAGCCTTAAGTTTCAACATCTGATCACTGAGGAGTCTTACTGGGAGATTTGTTTCAGTTGCATTCGGCTCACTCCTTCAGCGTCACAATTCTTTTCGAGTCGCTCTTTGGGTGAGATTTATGCCTACCTTGATATAGCTGTACTGCACTGCAGCAACATAACAAAAACTGTCTTGGGTCGTATCCAATGTTCTTTATGTAACCAGCAGAGAGCCATTGCTGTGGAGTTAAGATTGACTTCTGCAAGACAGCTGTGCAAATCAGACCAGCCTCTCTCTTTCTTCAAACCCAAGGTCTTCTGTGAAGCCCTTGGCTTCATCCCATTTTGTTTTGTTTTAAACATCCCTGCATTTCTGCATATTCAATCCATTGTTTTTCTCTTTCCTCTGTTTTCTCTTTCCTCTGTTTCTCCCTTTATGCTCTCTCTTTTTCTTTGCCCCTCCCTTGAACTATGGATTATAAACTCACAGAGAGTTTGGCATTCCCTGCAGCAAACGGTGTGGCCCAGCTTTTAGAAGACACCTGACTTTTAGAAGACATTTGAAGGCAGCCCTGCTTAGGGAAGTTTTTAATGTTTGATGTTTTTAATGGTGAGAGCCACCCAGAGTGTCCGGGGAAACCCAGCCAGATGGGTGGGGTATAAATAATAAATTATTATTAAATTATTATAAATTATTAGCATTAGAGTTGTGGAGTGGGATCCCTGGTTAGGACCTTGCGTAGAAATAAATGAGCTTTCCAACCAAAGAATGAGCTTCGAGAGCAGTCTTAAAATGACATTGTGCTGGCAAGAATGTTACTTGCCCTAAAATGGAAAGAAGCCCAAGCAAAGGAAGAATGGTTATAAAAACTTATGGAATATGCAGAAATGGCAAAACTTACATGAAGAATAAGAAATCAAGATAACAATTTTTTAATAAAAGAATGGAAATGGTTTTTTTTTAATATTTACAGAGAAATTACAAACAGATAAGAATATTGGCAGGATTATTGTAACAACCTGCAGTTTTCTAAGAGTATATATTTAAAGAAGAGGAATAAATGAGCAAATAAGTTAATTTGGATATGCAGAAGATACTAAAAACAAATTTAAGGAACCGCAGAAAGAGGGGCAAGGAAGTCAAGTTTTAAAATGTCAAAATGATTGTAAAATCAGTGAAATGTATCTAACTGAAAAGTATAAATAAAAACTGAAAAAAGAAAATAAATAACTACTCTGAGAAGTAGGGGTAGGGGAGCTAGCCAATCAGTCAAAATGGTTGTAAAATTAGTGAAATGTATAAAATCAGTGAAATGTATAAAATTGAAAAGTATAAATAAATAAATAATTCAAAAATTGTGGGTGGGTGGGGGAGCTACGTTGTGAAGAACAAAACACCAACGTGCTGTGTTTGTGGTATGGAAAACAGTGGGAGGCAGCATCGTGTAGCCCCGGAAAGGCTTAGACTATGGGTAGGCAACCTAAGGCCCGGGGGCCAGATCCGGCCCAATCACCTTCTAAATCTGGCCTGTGGACGGTCCGGGAATCAGGGTGTTTTTACATGAGCAGAAGGTGTGCTTTTATTTAAAATGAATCTCTGGGTTATTGTGGGGTATAGGAATTCGTTCATTTCCCCCACAAAAAATATAGTCTGGCCCACCTTTGTTTTTTTGCAATCTCAGGATAAAGGTGGCACAAGGAGAGAGGAAAAACAGAGCAGAATGAAACACTTTCGTTTAAATACACACTGCTACTTTCCTAGAAAAAGAGGTGCTAGAACTCATCATGACCTTCTCCCATGTTCTCTTATAATGTCAATTGTGCTCACCTGAGTTCTGGTGAGTTCCAGCTGTCCCTTTGATATCTTCTGAGTTTGCAGTACCAAATTGCGCCTGTCTCCAAGTTTGATTTAATCCAAAAGCTTGAAGTGAAAATGTCAACTCCAATTCCCCTAGCATCTGCATTATGCTTCATTATTTCACTTTGGCAATGTGCGATAATGAGTTTCAGCCAAGGAATGGTATCATGGAAATAACGTAAATTCAATTATCTGTTGTAAATCATCAGATCAAAGCTGACTAAACTCAGACTAGGGACGTGTGATGGATCCAGAATATTTTTTTTATAAAGTTCCTTTGAGTTTGTGAATCTCGTGTCTTACTTTTTGTGCTTCAGCAAAGTTTTTTTGCCCAGGTTCTCTTGACTGCAACAACATATCACTTAGGGGAAAGATTTTTCATAAGGCAGGATTCTCTTAAATAAATTCTGACCTTCTGGGTCAATGCTTTATTTACTTTAATTTTGGCTCGGCTTTTGATCAATATCAGGAATTAAATTGCGATCCCCCTCAAGGATTTAGGTTTCCAGAGTTATTGATTTGCTTAGAAATCTCAGTCAATGACCTTTGAAATTATTCTCACACAGATATACGCACATACCACTGCTTTAATTCCTGAATGCAAAATTGTAAAACCATTCAGCCAAGGATGAAATACTTTTCTGAATATCAACAAAACGGCCCTTTTAAATTGGACTTTAGGGTACAGTTTGAACATGGAAAAATTAATATGGACAATATAATAAGCAATTTGTATGGAGAGATTCTGACTTAAAGATGTTGCAGGACTCCAACTCTCAT